TTCGTTCCTGAAAAGCAAGCATTTGAGGACTGGGTACAACCAGAAAACATTCAGGTAGGGTTGGTTCTTTTCTGCGTGCTTATGCTCTTTTGATAGAGATTGCTAAATTGGTTTGTTGTCTCTTGGATCAATTGCATGCCACATTTATGGTGTCTAAATCAAGTACACAGCTAGATAGCTCCCAGCCTCCACTGGAGAAATGGAGATGACAAAGTAAACTGCGGTCTGGTCTTCCGCTGCCCTGTCCTGAACAAGCTTGAAGGTCCCTTTTTATCCTCGAGAAATTGAAGCAGCGGATGACACTTCTCAAGTTGTTGGTAGTTAAATATATAAATGTATTCGTGTTAGGTTAGACAAGGGTTGTACTCCTCAAAAAGAATCTTTTGAATAAGAGTTAAAGCCTTCTAGGGCTTCTGTTAGTGATGCCCCTAATGTGACTTGAGAGGAGAGCACCCCTGATGACCCCTCGGTTTGATTAGTAGTAGAAACCACCATTGCAACAATGAGAGCTTCACCATCTAATCTAGGAGAGCCGAGGGTTGAGAGGAGAGACCCCATGAAAAGAAAATAAGGTGTTACTTGCACTCTACACTAAACAGTTCAGGTCTTGTACAAAGTTCAAAAGAGTGATCAACACTTAGCCTCATATATTGCCAAACTATATGGTCCTCACAATGATTTGACGAACACTTTCCAACGCATGCCACCGTTGCATCAATTCATCATTGCTGCTCCTTCTGTCGTTCCTAATCCGTTGGCATCCCAGATATCAACCAGTCTTGCCTTGCTCATTAACTTTGTAGTAGAAGTCCCAATAACTGAGTGGCTAAAGGAACAGACTGAAACCATTAGTCCTCACAAAATATTAAGGGCATCTCTGCCAACGGTCAAACAGTTTCAGTCATGTTAAGGACATCTACAACTCTATAATATGAAGTCATGATGATCATCGTCCTTGGCTGATGAGCCTCGATATCGGCTCAAAGAACACATGGGACTACGGTTAGGCCGGCGGAGCGGTAGGAGGAGGCCGAAGGAAAGGAAGAAGACAACAATTCGCGGGAGCGGGAGGAGGAGGGCGAAGGAGAGAGGAAGAAGACACACATGGAATTCAGTTGGCACAAAAATTACTCTCGTGACCGATCCCACAGTATTTACTAAACAAGTTGATAAAGAGGGGGCATACATTAGGCATGTCCTTAGATAAACTGATTGATACATTTACTTGTATTTTGTCCATAGCAACGCACAGACATAAGACTGAGTTCCTATTCAGTCTGATATTTTTAGTAGAAGGTTTAGTGTCAATCTAAAACAAAATATGATTTGAAAAGGGGCAAAATAATTCTTGTTGGGCCAAGTATTAATTTCCTAGGAATTTATTCATGAGTCAAATGAAGTTGGTTTCAACATGACAATTATCAAGGGAATTTTTAGAATAATGCGACCATTTTATTTTTATAGTTCGAAGAAATAATATATTTGACTTTACTTTAAATTTGAATTTTGATTGATTTTTATCAAGTGACAATTTGGCTTAGTTAAACCTAATGACATGGCACCATTAGGGTGAGGTCACTGTAGCATGATTCTCGGGGTGTTACAATGATGATATACGAGATAGAGTTGGGGTAGCACCGATTCAAGAGAAGCTCGTCCAACATCGTCTGAGATGGTTTCACCATATTTAGCGTAGGCATCTAGGAGCGCCAATGCATAGAGGACGGCTAAAGCATGCTGATGATGTCAAGAGAGGTCGGGATAGACCGAACTTGACATGAGAGGAGTCCGTAAAGAGAGATCTGAAAGACTAGAGTATCACCAAAGAATTAGCCATGGATAGGGTTGTGTGAAAGCTTGCTACCCATGTGCCAGAACCATGAGTTGGTTGCGAGATCTTATGGGCTTCACCTCTAACCTACACCAACTTATTCAGGACTAAAGGCTTTATTATTCTCAATATAAAAGATCTAATGAATGTGTTCCCATTTTATATAAAAATCATCTAATTTGCATGAATTCAGTTTGTGAAATTCACTTTAAATTGTATGTGGCTACGGTTGGATGGTGGGTCCCTGCTCCAGTATGCGCGGACTCAGGTGTCCGATTTGAGGCTCAGATTTGGAGATGCCCTAAGAGAAACTCCAACACGCCAACCCAAACTACCTGCGTGTGTCCGTTCGGGTTGAACGAACACAAAAGTTGGCAAAAACACCAATGCAAACGGACCAGCGTCCGCTTTTTGTCCGTGCACGACCCATTTTAAGCCCAAATTTGGGCTTCGTTTGTGTCGGCATGGACGCGCACGTCGCCCACCCTTGTCTTCCTCCTAGCCTGCCAGTCGGTGGCATATCAGCCCCATTTCCCTTCCTTTCCCAAACAAACCTCCCGCCCGCTTGCTCTCCCAGCCGCTCGCTATCGATGAAGCGTGGAACCCCGATGCTGGCCTCGCCTCCACCCTCGACAAGCTCCGTGCCCACAAAAAGGTGGCGGCTCCCAAGCCAAAGAAGGTGCTGAAGGACGTGCAGTAGGCCATTTAGTCGGCCAACAGGGCTGGCCGGAGGGAGGTACATCTGAAGAAGTTAGAAACCGTGGCCGCCGCCGCACAACAAGAGGCCGCCATCGCAGAGAACAACGCCCTCGTTGCTGCGGCCACGAAGCAGGCCCTCCTCATACTAGGGTTCAACGATGGCCCCGGTCATCATGGGCTCGTCACTACCACCATGGCCGCAGCCAGCACGGGCTCGTCGGCAACCCGTCCGCCATGGCCAGAGCCACCACACACATCCACCATGCCGCAGACACCCAGCTTCCATCCCCACCCGTAAGCCTCCCATTTCTCCACCTCTCCTGGGGATTGTTCGCTGGAGGTGAGCGTGGTCACGCCGGCCACGCCCGCGCGCATGGCCATCGACCTCAATGCCACACCTGCAGCCGGTGGGTCGTCCACTGGGGACCAGAGGAAACACCCGCGAGAGATCCTCGCCGGTATGCACCTTGACGCCCACAGCATGTTCGACACAATATCGGCCGCAGACGACGACATGAACAACCATTTCATCATGGAGAACATCATCTTCGAGTATGGTGTGGGTGCGGTGCCCTTCGATCCCGACGAGACCCAAAGCCAAGACGGCCGAGGCCCCTTCATGGATGACCACGAGGGCACGGCCGACACCTTTGCTCAAGGCAATGTTGGCATGGCCGACCCCTTCACGCAAGACCAAGATGGCATGGGCAACACTTTCCCGCAAGGCCACGAGTTCCCCAAAGACTACAACCTAGAAGAAGAAGATGAAGTGGACATTGAGGGGGGGCTTTGTTTTTTGCCGACGAGCTCACCACCTAAGCCAATGCAAACAAGAAGTGCCAAAGCATTCAAACGAAGGCATACACAAAGGATGAAGATAAACTCCTTTGTGAATATTGGAGGGACAATGGACAAGACCCCAAAATCGGTGCCGGGCAAAAGGCGTCAACCTTTTGGCTAAGAGTTCGTCGCCAATTTCATGAACGCAAGAAGTTCACGCCGTATTAGATGAAGAGCCAGTATAGGTGGGTGTCCCTCTAAAAGCGTTGGAGGGTCATACAATAAAAATGCAACAAGTTTTATGCCACCCTTGAGAGCATCGAGGGACGTCCCGTGAGTGGCCTCGACATCGAAGACATGGTATACACTCCTCCATCTTCGTTTTCATTGTTTCATGCTTGCATGTCCATTGCCCATATGAATATGCATTTGTGTCTTCATTTGTAGGTATTTCAAGTTCTGGAAGCATTCAAGGCCCAACATGGGAATAAGCCGTTCACCCTCACCCATAGTTGGATGGTCATAAAAGGCAACGAGAAATTCAAGGAGCAATATGCGGCCCTATGGAAGAATGGAGGGCCAAAAGCCGTTGAGGAGCATGGTGAGGGAGAGAAGTCGCAGCCGCGGGAAAAGACCAACTCCAAGAAAAAGGACAAGCGTGATGCGACGTCGATTGCCTTGCAAGCAACTTTGTAAGGCATGATGATCCAAAAGAATACAAGGGAGGAGAAGCGTCGGCAAGACAAAGAAGAGCAAATGAAGACCTACATGGAGATACAACGGAAAAAGTTCGAGATGGAGGCGGAGATGTAAGCGAAGAAGCATGAGATGGAGGCGAAGATGCAAAGGAAGATGCTCGAGATCGAAGCTACCAAAGCCAAGACCAAAGCAAAGGAAGTGGCACTCTCTTGCATGTCGAAGGGGGTGGAGATCATGAAGGTGGACTTGATCACGGTGTCCCCGAGAAAGTGAACTTAGTTCGAGAAGATGCATGCCGACATGCTCAAGCTTAATGATTGATTTATGATGGAGAGCATCATCTTTTTTGTATGCCAGCACTGCTGGCATGACCACAGTCAAGATAGCTTGGTTAAACTCACACTTTTTTTTGTGTGTTGGCATGTGTGTCGGTCCCTGTCAAGTGCGTCAACATGAACTATGTGGTGTTTTGCGGAGACTGGCATTGTCTCAACTATGGGTGATGTCATGGCTATTGGCATGATCTCTGACCACGGGCATTTTTCAAATTTAAATTATTTTCTGCACGGACAAAATTTGAGTCGGCCGGTTGGGTACACCGATCCTACACAGACGGATGAGCTGACAATGGATCAAAGGAGCGAAAAGAGGACAAATGCTCGCCCGTTTGTTTGGGTCGGCACGATGGAGTTGTGGCCAATCCGACCCAGTCCAGCCGTAGGGCCGCCGCCGTAGCTTAGCGCCACCGCCGACTCCCCCGCCTCTCACGCGCGTCGCCGCCATCGCCGTCTCCGTTCTACTTCACCGCGTCCCTGCTCACTGCTGTCTCCGCCCCGTCCGCAATCTCGGACATAGGTTTTTGAGGTATGAGCTCCCTGAGTCATTCAGTGATCATGATTGCTTAAACCTGAACAAAACTCCACAAATTTTGGGCGTGCCACTAGATCCGCCCTTGTTGGTGGGGGTGATTCGCCGCGGGCGGGCGGCGGAGATGATCCGTCTGCAGACGTACGCGGCGTTCAGCCTGCTGGCGACGACGTCAGCGGTGTACTACGCGTTCAGCAGCAGGGAGCAGTTCTACCCGGCGATGGTCTACCTCTCCTCGTCCAAGATCTGCTTCGTGCTGCTCCTCAACACGGGCCTTGTCGCCATGTGCACCACCTGTTGGCAATAAGCCATGTCCATGCGCTGGCGACCGGCGTCGGGTGCGCCGGGTGCGGTGTGTGCGTGCGTGGAGTTAGTGGCTCCCGGTGGTGTGCGTGTGTGAGCCTATATAAGGCACTGTAAACATCATGTTAGGGGAGTTGCCGTGATGTAGCCTGTGTGTTGAATATAAAGGAGGCGTTTGGGCGTCTGGGCGTTGGTCGCCGGGAAAAAAAGTGTGCTCCTTCTTTCACCTCCGTCTGGCGTGAGAGAGAGAACGGCAACAACAATTGGTATCATGAGCTTGGTGTCTTGGACGTGCTTGCCATGCCGGAGACGTGGCAGCGATGGCGGTGCTCGCCGGTGGCTGCGCGACGGAGCTCCGGGCCGTGTGTCGGTCCATGGAGGTGGGCGGCGCTGTGGCTGTCATGGCGCGTGGCGGAGGCGGCGGGCGGTGACGTCATACGTGCGGCAACCGCGGAGGCCGCCGAGGCGCTGCGTGGTGGCGCGGTGGCGCAGCACGGAGTGGCGACGTGGAGGCACTGCATGGCGGCACGGAGGCCGCGGCGGTGCAGGGCGATAAGCCGCGGCGGCGAGTCGGGCGCGACCGGTGCGTGTTATGGGTGCGCACTGGACGCGTCAGGACCGCGGGCGCGCGGTGAGCGTCTGGTGCGGTCGGGCTCATCGGGCGCGTCAGGTGCGCGCGGGACGTGCGGGACGCACTGGTGTGGTCGGACTCGTCGGGCGCGTTGGGGTGCCCGCAGGACGTGCGGGACGCATTGGTGCGGTCGGGCTCGTTGGACGCGTCGGGTGCGCGCGGGACGTGCGGGCGCAGAGGGATGCCAGGCGTGTGTCGCCGGCGGAGAAGGAGCTCGACGTGTGTCGCTAGAGTCGTGACGGAGCACGGTGCGATCGCCATCGGTGCGCCAGGTCGGGTACACGGGCTGGATCACGGCCGTAATGACGACAATGACGCGAGCTGCATCAACTCCGACGACGGCGGGCATACGACACGTCGAAGTGGGCGCGGAGGTGCGCTATGTCATCGGGCGGACGAGATGACGATGACGAGTTAGGGCTCCTGTTAGCAGGCTGCGCGGCGATGTCATGGCTTAGAAGGTGAGTGTTGGCAATAAGCTATGTCTATGTGCTGGCGACCGGCGTCGGGTGCGCCGGGTGCGGTGTGTGCGTGCGTGGAGTTAGTGGCTTCTGGTGGTGTGCGTGTGTGAGCCTATATAAGGCACTGTAAACATCATGTTAGGGGAGTTGCCGTGATGTAGCTGTGTGTTGAATATAAAGGAGGCGTTTGGCCGCCGGGGCGTTCGTTGCCGGAGTGTTGGTCGTCGGGAAAAAAAGTATGTTCCTTCTTCCACCTCCGTCCGGCGTGAGAAAGAGAACGGCAACAACACCACCTGGCAGCTCGTCAAGCGCATCTTCCTGGGCACGCTCCGCGAGGCCGAGGTTGAGCAGCTCAACAAGCAGTCCTGGAGGGAGGTCGTGGAGATCCTCTTTGCGGTCACCATCTTCCGCCAGGACTTCTCCGTCGCCTTCCTCACCGTGGTCGCCGCCCTGCTCCTCGTCAAGGCGCTGCATTGGCTCGCACAGAAGAGGGTCGACTACATTGAGACCACGCCCTCCGTGCCGATGCTGTCGCACATGAGGGTTGTGTCCTTCATGGTGTTCCTGCTTGCCGTCGACTGCATCTTCCTGTCGAGATCCTTGATGCCACTGATAAAGAACCGGGAGGCGTCTGTTGCAATCTTCTTTTCCTTTGAGTAAGCTATATCTCAAATCCTTCTTTCTATTCCAAAATTGGCTTGCAGTGCAGCATCTTTTTATTGCCCCACTTCACATTTCAGAAGGTATCCAATATCCATGAGTCAGATTCAATTAAAACAGCAACCGTTGGATCTTATAAATATCAATGCGCTTTGGTTTGACACCTATAAGTTGAAAAATCGTGCATTGTTCCATGAAATGAAAACGCCATGTTTCATGGAAAGGGACGTTTATGCAACATTTTTTGAACGGTATTAGACATCATTTAACAAACCGACAACAAAGTACGGAAGTTGTACTAGCATTTCTAGTTCTATGAGCATAAAGATGCATTTGTAGAATGTTACATACTCCCTCTGTAAATGCTCTTATATTTCTGTACAGAGGGAGTACTAGATATTCAAGTCTATCCATAACCATCATATCTTTACGAGATCCTCCTCCTCTAGAGGTGGTGGTGTTCGTGCTCCCTTTGCAAGTCCATTTTAGAATCCTGGAAGAATAGTTTAGACGTACCAGTTTAAGCGCTGGATGTTATGACTTGTGTGTGGATGCACCAATGTATGTTTCAAACTTCTTGGTCATTCATAACTTATACTTGGCCTGACGCTGCAGTATCCAAGTCATCACTTAATCATTTCACTTGATGCCTCCACTAAGCCATGTGTAGATTTGTCCAGTATGTTTGCCACCTCAATATTAAATCTGATTCATTTTTATGTTATGGTTGTTATGTTCTCGGAGCCAAGTCCAGGAACTTGTTAGCTACTCCATCGTTCTTGAAAAGATGGCGTATAAATTTAGTGTTAAGTCAAGTGGTGCAAAGTTTCTTCAAGTTTGTAGGGAAAACTATCAACAACAATACCAAATTAGTATCATCACATATAGACACTAAAATATATTTTCATATTATGTTTATTTACCAATGTAATTGTTGATAGTTTTTCCTACAAACTTGGTCAAACTATGTACTGTTTGACTTCAGACAAAAATTATATGCCTTCTTATCTGAGTCGGAGAGAGTGTCTTCTTAACTCTAAGCAATACTTTAAGTGAAAGTGGTGCAAAACATTAGGTCTGAATATTTTAAATTGCAGTAAGACTTAACAGCTACTAGTATATGTTATTGTTTTTAAAGGATGGGACATGCCTGTTCAGGCTTGGTAACAACCAAAGGGACTAATCTTATATTTATTACTTGAGGTTATACTAAAATTTTACGTTTACATCTGCAGATAATTCTTGATGTAATTTCAAGATCTTGAAACCCAAGTAGCTCAGATATGTGCAAATCATGTTTTCAGGTATATGATACTAGCAACATCGACGGTATCGATATTCATGAAGTATGTATTCTATGTCAGCGACATGCTAATGGAAGGTCAATGGGAGAAAAAGGCAGTGTATACATTTTATTTGGAGCTCATCAGTGACCTTGTGCACTTGTCTTTGTATATGCTCTTCTTCATAGCTATCTTCCCTGTGAGTTCTCTTATGATCTTTCCCCTTAAGAGTACTATAGTTTGAACTTCAGTGTCTGATATGTTATACCTATACCAGGAACTATGGTGTCCCTCTGCACTTGATCCGTGAGTTGTACGAGACCTTCAGCAACTTCAGAATTCGTGTTTCAGATTATGTGCGCTACAGAAAGATAACTTCCAACATGAATGAATGTTTTCCAGATGCTACAGCTGATGAGCTTAATGTGTGAGTTATTTGATTTCACTGGCACTGTTTCAGTTTATTCAACTATGGCTCTTGTTTATGATTTAGATATTTTTATGAATTCAGGAGTGATGCTACATGTATTATCTGTCGTGAAGAGATGACAACAGCAAAGAAGCTGCTTTGTGGGCACTTATTCCATGTGCATTGTTTGAGGTCATGGCTAGAGCGCCAACATACTTGTCCCACATGTAGAGCTCCCATTGTCCCCCCGGACAATGGACGTACTGCATCTGCGCAACAGCATGGAGCTCAACCGGGTGTTCAGCTTGGTGAGCTTCCTTTTGCTGTTCTGTTCATTGTTTTACATTTTTCTACTTAACAATTTCTATCAGTCAGTGCCACATTTGGCAAATAGTTTTGTATGTGATTCCTAATTCAGTGTGAGGAAAAACAGCTGCAGGCATCGGCGCTCCAGGTTCAGAAGGGGCAACAAGTGAGAACGTGAACAGGCGTCAAGCAAAACTTGAGGCTGCTGCTTCAGCTGCTTCCTTATATGGGAGATCTTTTGCTTATCCTCAACAAACACCTTGAATAGGTATATTTTTTTCATCATCGTTGTTACTTCTCTGTAATAGTGCGAAATGTCAAGCATTTGGTATTCCGCTTGGGATACTTTAATATGATCAGAAATGCTGACTCTGGTATTTTATCGCGGATCATCATTTTGCAACTTAGAATTTATATATGCATCTCATTTGCAAACTGCCACATTGTTAACTTGGAATGTATTTATGAACATTGCCAGTTTGGTTATACCTTTACCTGCCTTATGTTGATGGTGGCTGGATAAAAATGGTACCACTTGTTAGTTCTCCTTACTAACCATGCAGGATAGTTTGTTTTTTGCCACTAAGCCTTGCATTCATCTGGTTTTGTCTTTTCTATTTTGCACCTGGCCATCTCATTGGTGTGCAGGTCCAAACAGTGAAAAAAATAAAACAAACAGGACGAATGAAACATTAGGAAGAATCCTAAATAGTCGGTGATGCTCCTTTTGGCCTTGGAACATTATGACTTGTCGAGCTGTGGTTATTGTATTCTGTTTTGGAGTATTAGCAATTGGTCTGGTTTCCTTATGCATTTGTATTAGTATAGATTAACCTGTACACCCAAGTCTCTTGAAATTCGCCTCGTGGGTTATGCAATACAGATAAGTTGCTCTTCTAACATGATATTAGAGCCCTAGGTTTCTTTATCCCACGCGCAACTCGTGCTCTTTCAGATCGCTTTTCCCGGCGACTGATCTAATTCCCAGTCGATCTGGTCTCCTGTGACGGCCGGATAATTAAGCTATAGTAATCCCAAGTTAAATAGTGCCACGTCACCACTCTTACTGTTGCTAATCCTCGGTTGATCCAAATCGCAATTCAAATTAAAATTCAAATCAAAATCCAAAACTCAAAGTTTTCAAACATGAAAGCTAAAATGTTCAAACTGTGGAAAATAATCTCTGGTTATTTCTCCTGTTGAAACCAACCTCTTCTGAATTCCCAAAAAGCCCCTGGGAATTAATTTTTGATCCAGCAGCAAATTATTTGGCCTTTTCAATTTCTAAAAATGGTTAGACAACTCCTTCTGACCCCATACTTTTTGTTCCATCTCAATATATTGTGTTAGATTTATGTGCCAAGTTTTGTTCAAAACAAAACTCAATTGGTACAAAAAGAAAATGCAAAAGAAAAAAAGAAAATGGAAAACAGAAAGTTAAAAGCAAAAAAGAATACCCCCCCTTCCCTTCCTCACTAGGCCTCGGTTCAACTGCCCCCTCCAAGCAGGTTGGCCCACTCCCACACCCCCCTGGCCTATAACCCCAACTCCCCCC